TTTCATTGATCACAGACAGTTTGCAGACTGTACTAAAATATTATTGATTAGGATCAAATGATTGTTACAGACTGAAACATTTAGGGTGACAGGAGAGCCAGCCAGAAGTCCCATATTTTTAGACCCATACAACCTAATTAGTTCTTTGCTATGAAAATTCATGTTTACTCATTTTGAATCAAACAAATATATGATAATAAATAAGTAATATATCGACATTAAACTTGGTCATGTTTCTTGATTTAATTTCCCTTATAGAGATCTTACAAAATATAACATACTACAACTCGGAAATTATGGTACAATTGCCATCAGTTTTAGTTATCACTTCGGATTAAGGGATCAAAGATCAGAGGCGCATGCACTATACTCATTTCCATAAAGTGCACAAAAACATTTAATTTTCATTTAAGATTTAAATTTAACAGGCCGGTGAGATCATAATCTAAGTCGTGTTCTCAAGATTCCCAATTCACAGATCTGTCAGTGCAAAAGTGCGATTATCATTACTACACCTAATACGCTGTTTGCATTGGCAGCAAACTCTTCCGACCTAAATCATTATAGGCACCTTATCCCCCACCAGCTGCGACTATTAAAATTAGTATTGACTCCGAAAACAGAGGTGTCGCCACAAAACTACTTCATACCACCTCCCTTTCAATAACTGTACTGACATCCTCTAAAACCAGGACATCACTCTCTCATCTTTCTTTCCTCGATTTATTTCCCTCTTTCGAGAACACTGCTGCCAGGTCGATTTAGTCACACAATATCGTTATAAGATTATAGATATTCTCTTCCCATCGTTCATTTTAGTCTTATTCAATAAACCCAACAAGAGGAGCCGCTTTATTAGTGAACATTATGATCTTTCTCTTAGGAACATGTATCAATCTCATATTCCTTGCACAGTAAGATATAGATGTCGTGTGCCGCGCTCCTCGGCTCTACAACACAGCTGAGGTATTCCTACTCTTGCCCTCATTTCCCACCTTTCTCCATCGAACCCAACCTATTCTTTATCTCCCTCACTTCTTCCTAGTTAGGGTGTTTGACGAAACAGGGTTCTCTCCCCAAGAATACCCCCTTCCCAGGCTTCCGCTCCCTCTTTAGAGTGGACAGGAGCGGTTCTTCCTTTAGGATAAGCTATTTAGGTGAGCCGGGCCTGTCCTTCTTAGAGGGAGAGGCGTTTTGTCGTTTCCCTCCGCACCAATAGATGCACTTTCGCGCCCTCTCTTTGAGAGGGAAGAGGCTTCTCTCCCCAGAACATCGCTCGTCCCTCTTTACACTCTCCCCAAGAATACCCCTCTTCTCTCTCACACCCTATCCTTCCCTCCACCAGACACTCCACTCTAAGAGCGCCCTCCTCCTTCTCTGGCCGGCCCTGGTATGAATATCTGCCTCTTCCTCGTATCTTCTCTTTTCTACTCTCATTTCCTTTCCTGATCTCTTAACCGACTCTCCAACTTTCGGTCAATAGAATATCGCAGTCTCGCCCCATGGCCCCTTAACTTTCTCCTTCTGCGATTTGCTTGCGACATTGTTCGGCTAATTATATCTTCTGTTGCAGTGATCATCAGTCAGATTGTTCTTTTATAAAACGCAGCTTAAACTTGGCCACATAAAGTCTTTAACCGTCGTTTTAAGAGGTCGAAATTTTTTTTCTTACATAGCATTTCGCCTTTAAGATGGGTGTTGGCTAGCTCGTAAGTACTTGGTGCTCCTTGATGAGCACTCTCCGAACTTCAATAGAAAGTTATTTATTGATTTTTTTGTGTTTGTTATGTGTGTTCACATATTATGCTTTAACAATGTTCTGCTTTAACTGTGTGGTAATCGTATATCATCTATATATATCTATATAATATATATATATTGATATATAATATATATAAATTTGTATATATATATATGTATATGTATATATTTGTATATATGTATATATAATCATAATACATATATACGATATATATTACTATCATACATATGAAATATTATTATATATATATATTATAATATATATATATATATATATATATATATATATATATATATATTATGTGTGTGTGTGTGTTGTGTGTGTGTGTGTGTGTGTGTGTGTGTGTGTGTGTGTGTGTGGTGTGTATATATATATATATATATATATATATATATATATATATATATATATATATATATATATATATATTATATATATGCGTACGCTATAGAAAACTGATACGTAGATATCACCATTGTTATCATAAGGTTTCCAGGCACGTCTCTATTTTTTACGTTGAATAATCATTTGCTCAAAAGGAAGTGTGTACAAACGCATATGGACAGCTTAGTTGTTACAAGTTTCAGTCAATGTGGAGTTTGTTGACACTATCGGCGAGTTTGTCTGAAGTGTAAACTTGTCTCTGGCACGTGTTTATCTCCTGGCGTGCGAGATTCAACTTTATATTGGGGTCGTCTCTTTCGCTCTCTTTCTGTGCTGCTGTTTTTCTCATATTTT